TTCATTTTTTGAAAATTCATATTAAAAAAAAAAGTTGAATCAGAAACCATTACTTTTAGCTCAACTTCAAGATTGAAATTTCCATTATTAAATAGAAAATTCAATGAGAATTTAAAATATAGTATTGTTATGAAAGTAGTTAACATTTTATAATTATAGTGGAGCCCCGGTAATCCGACAAACGTTTTGCAGGTCAGTATCGAACTATCGAATTTGTCGGATTATAGAGTATTCCCTAAGACCTCCTATAGTCCGGAATTTTTAACAAAAAGGTACATTGTAATCCGATAAATCACAAATCCAAAGATAAGATTTGGTCTTTATAGGCCCTGGTGTGAAGTATAAATCATGCTGCATTATGTATGTCGACTTAAGTAAATTAAACAACACAATAGAAAGCTTATGTTTTATTATAAAGTTAACGTCATTAATGCTAGAGAACTTAATAAAAACAATTACTTTACATTAAGGAATACAATTACAATGTAATTGTGTTTGAACAAATGTACATACTAAAATATTAAAAAATTATGAATAAAAATCATGATATGAATTTATGAAGCATGAAAATATTTATCAATTTTTTTTTGCTTAACATTATTGAAACGCGAGACCAATGCTCTGTCCCTCAGTCTTCTTAAAAGTAAAAGTTCGTTGCAGGATGCACTATTCTCTTCAAACCCAGTTCAAAGGCGTTAGTTGATTTCCAAATCTTGCAATCTTATCTGTGTTTCAGCAGCAACTTTCTCTATTACTTCCGAAGTTACACTGATTTGCGGATCGTTGATAGGACTGGTGACTATATCCGGCCATAACTTTTTCCAAGACGATGTAATAGTTGATGAAGGTAATGCAGTCCACGATTGACAAAGAGCAAAAACCAAGTCTTTCATATTAAATTCTTTTAAAGTTTTTTCTATTGGCTGATCTTTTGATACAGCTTTCAGAAGTAGATTTTTCTTATAATCTTGCTTGACAAACTGAATTATATGCTGATCCATTGGTTGAATCAGTGCAGTGCAGTTTGGTGGAAGAAACATCGCAGTGATGCATTTATCCTCAGTTATCAGTTCTTCTTCAGACGGATGACCGGGAGCGTTATCAATAAGCAATAAAGCATTTTGAGGAAAATTATGATTTTTCAACCATTTTTTAACTTCTGGTACAAAGCATTCATCAAACCACTTCTTGAAAAGGTCTTTTGTCATCCACGCACTTTTTTGACCATAATAATGTACAGGCAAATCAATGTTTTTGAATGCACGTGGTTTATTCGATTTTCCAACGACCACCATTTTTAGCGCGTGTGTACCCGCAGCATTTGCACATGGTAGTATGGTTACACGCTCTTTACTTACTTTTCGCCCAGGTACGGATTTTTCGTTAAAGNGTTACACGCTCTTTACTTACTTTTCGACCAGGTACGGATTTTTCGTTAAAAGAAACGAAAGTTTTGTTTAGTATCACACACCAAAAAAGTCCTGATTCGTCTGCATTGTACACTTGTGATGGGTTAAGATTTAAATCTTTCACCTTTTGCAAAAATCTTTATTTAAATGGCTCTATGCAGGTAGCATCATTAGAAAGTTTCTCTCCTGTTTTAGTGATTAAACGTATGCCATGACGACTTTTAAAACGTTCTAACCATCCCTTGCTAGCCATAAAATCATCTTTTTTTATAATTTTCTTATAAAAAAACTTAGCTTTCATGGCCAACATGGGTCCCGAAATTGGAGCATGCCTATTTCTTTCCTGAAGAAACCACATGTACAAAGCTTCTTCCACTTCTGGATGTTCAGCTTTATTGAGTGTCTGTCTCTTGCCTGGCCCTCAGTCAGTAGTTGATACGAAGTTTTAATCTTCTCATGATTTTTTTTAATATCATAAATTGTAGATCGGCCTACGTCATATTCATTTGCTAAACTACTAAAAGATTCATTACGATTTAAACTGTCTAAAATACCACATTTTTTGTCAGTGTTTTGTGCTTTCGCTTCTGGGCTTGTAAATTACCAGGTACGTATACGTAATACACAATGAATAAACAGTACACAAAGAATCTATACTTTGAGCACAATATTAATGGCACAATTGTAATCTATTCAGTTATGCATAATCTACATTAGCGAAGATTGTAAAAAAAATACCCAATAATAATAGACATGTCGGATTATAAGGGGCGCCGGATTAACCAGGGGCCGTATTACCGGGGGTCCACTGTACTATATTATTGTAAATTTATCAGAAAAGCTCAATAATTTTTATATTTTTATCGTAATAGATCACTTAAATAAAAATCATAGTATTTTTTTAATAAGAACAAATTATCTTGGCGACTGTCTACTATGGAGGTCGTCAAATTAAAAAAAAATCACAATTAATCATAATAACTGCAATAATTATAATTACTTATATACTAATGTACGTTGTCTTTTAAATATCTTTCTTTTTTTTCGCTTTTATCAGCCCATTAAGGGCTATCCCGGCCTTCCTCAAAGAAGGATATTTTTAAATAATTTATTATCATTAATAATAATAGTATTAAATTCGTTTTAATACTGCAAGTTTGAATAATAATAAGTTTGAAATTAACATCAATTAAATAGAATATTTTATGAGCTTATAAAAAATAGTTTTTTTTATTATTACGTGTGATCGACAACAATTATAATTACAATAAAATTTATTAACAAAATAGATTTATAAAAACAAAATTTAATAAAATCCAGTGTGTTTTAATGAAATTATTTAAATTTTAAATATTTTGTCTTTATAGTACATCAAAATTTTTATTCTAACTCTTTGTACTCAACTATACGCATCTAATATGCTCATATCCTATAGTAAATAATTATACCGTATAAAAAATAACACGCAATTAAAATACTATCACATTGAGAGTTGATGTAATCAAGTTTTATTTGTGATGAAATAAATAGTAATAAAGCGGTTAAATATTAATCACAATATATTTTAAACAAATACACGTAAGGAAGCGCATAAAAAGTGTCACGATAGTTTTTTGTGAAGAAGTTGAAAAAAGTAATATGTATATATTTTTTATGCATCGCCGAACCGGTTCGTGTCGGACGTAGAGAGGTAGCTGTCTCGCAGTCTCCATCCAGCGGTAAAGCATTAAGTGAACTACGACCACTTCAGAGTACTTTTTGGTTTCTAAATACAAAAGTGCTTCAGTTATATTTTACTATCCAATATATATATATATGTATATTTTTTAATAGCAATACATTCATTTATTATAACTATAACTAGTCGAAAAATAGGGATATGACTGAACCTAAAAACTTAAACTTTATATCAAGTAACAATTTTAATTATTCGATGCCCTTAAATATAAAATTTGTATTTTTTATGTCTCTCTCTTAATTAGATATTATTACAGCAAAAATTAATTAATATTTTTCTCCTTTAGCAATTCAATATAAAAATTCAAATGACGAACAAAACTGGCAATTAAAAAAAGACTCGACAATAATAGCTGCAGAAAACGGAAATTTGGAATTATTAAAATATGCATTTCAAAATGGATGTAAATGGGATGAAAGAACAACAGAAGCTGCTGCAAATAATGGCCATTTAGAATGTTTAAAATATGCTTATGAAAATGGTTGTAAATGGAATCAATTCAATATTGCGACAAGTGCGATTAGAAAGGGTAATCTAAGAATATTAAAATATATTCACAAAAATGGATACGATTTCAATCAATTCATAACTAACGTTGCTGGTGGTGGTAATCTAGAAATATTAAAATATGTCCTTAAACATGGATATCCTTGCAATAAAATTACAACTTATACAGCTGTTTTTAATAGAAATCTGGAAAATTTAAAATATTTACATGAAAAAGGATGCCCATGGGATGATAGAATTACTTATGAAGCCGCCATTCAAGGTAACATAAATATTTTAAAATATGCACATGAAAATAGATGTCCATGGGATGAAAGCACAACAGTAGCCGCAGCTTCTATTGGCAATTTAGAATGTTTAAAATATGCAATTGAAAATGGTTGTAAATGCCATAAACAAACAAGTACTGAGGCAGCCATTAGAGGTGATTTAAAAATATTAAAATATGCATATGAAAATGAATGTCCTTGGGATGAAAGCACAACAGAAGCTGCTGCTTTAAGCGGTAATATAGAATGTTTAAAATATGCTTTTGAAAATGGCTGTGAATGGGATAAACGTACAACTATTGCGGCAGCCAGAATCGGTGATTTAAAAATATTAAAATATGCACATGAAAATGAATGCCCTTGGGATGAAAGCACAACAGAAGTAGCTGTTTTTAACGGTAATTTAGAATGTTTAAAATATGCTATTGAAAATGGCTGTAAATGGGATGAACGTACCACTACTGCGGCTGCCAGAATAGGTAATTTAAAAGTATTAAAATTTGCACATGAAACTGAATTTCCTTGGGATGAAAGCACAACAGAAGCAGCTGCTCTTAGCAGCGCATTAAAATGTTTAAAATATGCTTATGAAAATGGCTGTAAATGGGATAAACGTACAACTATTGCGGCAGCCAGAATCGGTGATTTAAAAGTGTTAAAATATGCACATGAAAATGAATGTCCGTGGGATGAAAGCACAACAGAAGCAGCTGCTTCTAGCGGTAATTTAGAAAGTTTAAAATATGCTTTTGAAAATGGATGTAAATGGGATAAACGTACAACTATTGCGGCAGCCAGAAGAGGTGATTTAAAAGTGTTAAAATATGCACATGAAAATGAATGTCCGTGGGATGAGAGTACAACAGAAGCAGCTGTTTTTAGCGGAAATATAGAATGTTTAATATATGCTTTTGAAAATGGATGTAAATGGGATAAACGTACAACTATTGCGGCAGCCAGAAGAGGTAATTTAAAAATATTAAAATATGCACATGAAAATGAATGTCCTTGGGATGAAAGCACAACAGAAGCTGCTGCTTCTATCGGTAATTTAGAATGTTTAAAATATGCTTTTGAAAATGGGTGTAAATGGGATGAACGTACAACTACTACTGCTGCCGGAGTAGGTGATTTAAAAATGTTAAAATATGCACATGAAAATGAATGTCCGTGGGATGAGAGCACAACAGAAGCAGCTGTTTTTAGCGGAAATATAGAATGTTTAAAATATGCAATTGAAAATGGATGTAAATGCCATAAACATACAACTACTGGAGCAGCCATGCAAGGTGATTTAAAAATTTTAAAATATGCACATGAAAATGAATGTCCTTGGGATGAAAGCACAACAGAAGCTGCTGCTTGTAGCGGTAATTTCGAATGTTTAAAATATGCTATCGAAAATGGCTGTAAATGGGATGAACGTACAACTGCTGTGTCTGCCAAAATAGGTGATTTAAAAATATTAAAATATGCACATGAAAATAAATGTCCTTGGGATGAAAGCACAACAGAAGCAGCTGCTTTTAGCGGTAATCTAGAATGCTTAAAATATGCTATCGAAAATGGCTGTAAATGGGATGAACGTACAACTGCTGTGTCTGCCGAAGTAGGTCATTTAAAAATATTAAAATATGCACATGAAAATGGATGTCCTTGGGATGAAAGCACAACCATAGCATCAGCTTTATATGGTAATTTAGAATGTTTAAAATATGCTTATGAAAATGGTTGTAAATGGGATGAACGTACAACTACTAGTGCTGCCAGAAGAGGTGATTTAAAAATGTTAAAATATATCCATGAAAATGAATGTCCGTGGGATGAAAGCACAACAGAAGCAGCTGCTTCTAGCGGTAATTTAGAATGTTTAAAATATGCTTATGAAAATGGCTGTAAATGGGATAAACGTACAACTACTGCAGCTGCCAGAATAGGTGATTTAAAAATATTAAAATATGCACATGAAAATGAATGCCCTTGGGATGAAAGCACAACAGAAGCAGCTGCTTTTAGCGGTAATTTAGAATGTTTAAAATATACTTATGAAAATGGCTGTAAATGGGATAAACGTACACCTAATACTGCTATCGAAAGAAGAGATTTAAATATGTTAATATATGCACATGAAAATGAATGTCTTTGGGACGAAAGCACAACAGAAGCAGCTGCTTTAAGCGGTAATTTAGAATGTTTAAAATATGCTTATGAAAATGGCTGTAAATGGGATAAACGTACAACTACTGCGGCTGCCAGAATAGGTGATTTAAAAATATTAAAATATGCACATGAAAATGA